TAAGGTTAAACGTGAAACAGATGTGTAATATACAGCTGTTGCAATATATTGTTATTTTTATTTATTTATTTATTTATTTATTTATTGCAGTACGCGGGCCTCTCGCTGTTGTGGCCTCTCCCGTTGCGGAGCACAGACTCCAGACGCGCAGGCTCAGCAGCCATGGCTCACGGGCCCAGCCGCTCTGTGGCATGTGGGATCTTCTCGGACTGGGGCACGAACCCGTGTTCCCTGCATCGGCAGGCGGACTCTCAGCCACTAGGCCACCAGGGAAGCCCAAAATATTGTTTTAAAATACAGTTGGATCTTATATCTCTAGTCCTTTCCCTGCATGTCTACCTACAGTTCAACCTACCATCCCAGCACAGAGGCCTATATTGCTTAAAGATATTCTGGGTACTTAATCATGTTCTTGATCACCTTCAACTCAGAGAATTTCATTTCATTGTTAGAAGATGATTTTAGTTTTTTGGTATTCCACAGGTTGATTCCACTCTCACTTCTTACCATATGCTTAAAACCTTCATGATGAAAATTATGAGTAATTAGATTCATTCATGCCCACCAAAACTATTGCCTTGTTGAATAATAAGCTAAAAGTACTGATTTTTTGCTTAAGTATTAAAATTATTTTTCCCCATGAAGTATACTAGAAAGCTCTGCCCTAATTCCAGACTTTATAATAGATATGTGGTCACCAGCTTCTCTCCAATAGTTATCTCTGACCATAGTCTTACATGGGATTATATAATTAGGGCAAAGGGATGTTGACTCTGCATAGCTGTAACTTTCAGTGGGTTGGTAACTGCTCTTTTTAAAAGAAAACAGTCCCTATAACATTTTAAGTCTGCTTCTATTTGCTTTTCCATGAAAGATAATCTAGTATAACAGAGAATTTAAAAAACCACATTAGAAGCCTTACAATTTTATTCTTGAGAATGCTTTTTAACATGGTTTAGTTATACTAACTTAAAGTGATTAAATATGTAGAAACATCATTGTGAGTTACACCTCAATCAGCTCTTCCATAAAAGTAATTTCTTTCATATCTTAAATCTATGTTTTTCATTTTATTTGCTTTTTATAGAAGAATTTAGGCCTTTAGTTTTATTGATTTTTGTATTTTACTTGGCATATACACACTGGTATTTCTTTTGGCTTCAAATAAATTTAAAGTATTTCCCAATAAAACAACTGAAAATATAGAATCAGTTCCTAAGGATCTTTTCTATATAATTCAGTTTGAAAGAATGATGAACTGATCTCATGAGGGCCTCTTTGTGTGTGTGTGTGTGTGTGTGTGTGTGTGTATGTGTGTGTGTATACACACTCATGCTCACTATATGCCCAACAGTCCTGTCTCTGTGACCAAGTCCTGCCTTCCATGCTTAGAGACACAACTTAAAAAAATATGTTTCTGAAGAATTATGTTCTGAGATAAGGTTCTGGGAAGACAAAATGCAAAGGCTAAGTGTAGGCACCTCTTGTTTATGGGGCAGGGAACACATTGATGGGATTTTACATTATATGCAGTTAAGGCTCAGTAGAGATTTGGACTGACCACCTCCCTCCCGTGCTTAGCTCAGAAATCAGCCAGCAGCCAGGCCCAGATTTCCTTCAGAGGGAGTTCTAGCAGCTAAGTTGTTCACAATAAGATTTGGATGAGTACTTTGTGTATGTGAGGGGATGGAGTCTCTGCAGCCCTCGTCCCAGAACTCCCCCTTACACACTAGGCACTAAGGAAATCCAGCTGCTTTCTTTTTAGTAGTAGTTGGTGGTGGTGGAATAATGTGGTGGCAGTAAGCAGAATTACTCCGTTGGGTCTCGTCTTACTAAACAAGTTAAACCACCCAAACATAGTTACAAGTTAACAACAATTTTGTTTCCATGACCTATTCCTGTTAGTAAATTAAGCAAGAGGTATACATATTAATGAATGCATATATAAAGGCAGAGACAAGCTCTTCAATAATACATTTTCCTATTATGGTATTGGGTACTGAAAACCAATGAGAATTATTTGACCCAAAGAATATGTAACAAATGTCACTCCATACTCAAAGCCAATAGATATACTGGATACACATGTAAATTTCTAAACAATAGCAGGATTTTTCACATTACTGACATATCTTTGCTGCACACTCTTTGAAAATGTCTGAACATTTCATTAAAAGATATACTGAGTGAAGTTGCCGGATTGTCCAGGTCCAGTTCGTGAGTAAAAAAGTGATTATAGATAATATAAATTAGAATCACATCTATCTTAGATGTTTTTTTCACTTTTATGCCAAGTTAAGAGCATTGTTAGTGAATGGTATTATTGGAATTGGTTATTAGGAGTGCTGGCTACAAATTCAAAGAATAATTGTTTGATCATAATATTCATATTCATTAAGTTTCTAATCACCTCCTTTATAGGAGCTATTCAAGGATTTCTAATTGAATTTATGACACTGTAGCAAAATCACATCACAAACCTCTTTATGTTTACTCATATAAGCCTAGTTATTTTACTTTTATATGTATTTTTCCATCATAGTATTTCTTTGGAACTCTGAAGAGTGAGGACTTATTTAAGAAGTTAATTAACTAATGCAAAATTTACTCCTATTATCTTCATATTTAATTAAGACTTCTTATTTACGTCATCACCTTAGCAAGGACTATAGGTATTCTTTTTTTTTTGTTACAGATATTCTTGAATGTCAGCCTCTTATCTATTTACCTCAGCTTTTAAATATAATAAAGTACCTGGATTCTTTATTCAGTATTTCAGATCTCCTTTCTTTCATGTCACAAAAGATAAATTCACACAGCTGCACTGACAACATCACAGTTTTGAACATACGTCCACCCATTTCCTTATAAATAGTTCAGTCACTTACTTTAATCCATCTTCCTCTGCCCATCACTCTAATGTCAAACTTACAAGCTTAAGAATGCACTTTTGCAACTTCTAGTTGTTGGTTTTTTTTTTCAACATATTTATTGGAGTATAATTGCTTTACAGTGGTGTGTTAGTTTCTGCTGTATAATGAAGTGAATCGGCTATATGCATACGTATATCCCCACATCACCTCTCTCTTGCATCTCCCTCCCACCCTCCCTATCCCACCCCTCTAGGTGGTCACAAAGCACGGAGCTGATCTCCCTGTGCTATGTAGCTGCTTCGAACTAGCTATCTATTTTACATTTGGTAATGTACATATGTCAATGCTACTCTCTTACTTCGTCCCAGCTTACCCTTCCCCCTCCCCGTGTCCGCAAGTCCATTCTCTACATCTGTGTCTTTATTCCTGTCCTGCCCCTAGGTTCATAAGAACCATTTTTATTTTTAGATTCCATATATATGTGTTAGCATACGGTATTTGCTTTTCTCTTTCTGACTTACTTCACTCTGTATGACAGACTGTAGGTCCATCCACTTCATTACAAATAACTCAATTTCGTTTCTTTTTATGGCTGAGTAATATTCCATTGTATATATGTGCCACATCTTCTTTATCCATTCATCTGTTGATGGACACTTAGGTTGCTTCCATATCCTGGCTTTTGTAAATAGAGCTGCAATGAACATTGTGGTACATGACTCTTTTTGAATTATGGTTTTCTCAGGGTATATGCCCAGTAGTGGGATTGCTGGGTCATATGGTAGTTCTATTTGTAGTTTTTTAAGGAACCTCCATACTGTTCAGAGTCCAAAAGTCTACTCACTTAACTAACACACACTCACAGAGGTAGCATTTGGACTGACAAGATGTCAATCAATAAGCATTCTCATCTAGGAATGTCTGATAGTGGCGCCCTGGCATTTTTGTTTTGATGAACATTTAGTGCTAACAGTGGGAAGGGCCACCCCTCCTAAGATGTGTGTAGGTAAAAAGGGTTGGATGCTGAATTATCCATTTCACTTCTTCGTGTGTTTTCAGTATTTCGTTATAGTCATCCTTAATCCATACCTTTCACATAGTTCTGGTAGTTCAATCCCAGAAACTATATAAATAAATAAATAAATATATATATATACACACACACACATATACATACATACATATATATATATATATATATACATGGTTTATTTGTTTCACTTATTTCAGCCAAGTTTTTCTTTCTTTAATATCAACCTTCCACTGCCCACATCTTTGAGTTTATTAAAGTTTAGAACAAAACTAAAACAAAAGGAACACACACAACACTCACAGATCAGAGTTTCCAGATAGATATTGGAAAGTTTCTGGAGGTCATGGAATCTACCTTGAAGGAAATTGATTTTGATATCTATCTAGGATCTAGGACCTGGCTTGAAACGTCCTTGAATTGTCCTAAAGTAAACAGAAGATTCTCAAATGAGCTGAAGCAGGTACTAAAAAGTTGATTTGTGAATTTTATCATTTTAACAATTCCTCTCTTTTGAAGTAGCACCTGCTCATAATCAGGGATTGTTGTGAATTTCTATAGGCTGTATATTAAGAAATTTGTGCCCAACACTCAACGTTATCACTTTCTCAGAGTTACAGAACATTTAACTTTACTTTCCAATGCATAATTTCCTTTCCACTTGTAAGACTCCCCTGCTTCAAACCAGTGATGAGATTGGGAGTTACTGTGTAGATTCCATCTATGAAATAGCTGTTTCAGCTAATGAATTGAATTTGCATTCTCTTGTCTCCCTGTGTGGAGTTCTACCCCAATTATGATTCATTCTGAAATCACCAACATCCTGGACTAGAACTAATATTTCTCCATACTAACTTGAGAAGTTAGGTTTTATAGCTTGAAAATCATGTCTCTTCTGGCTATGACATCATCATAAACCACACAACTGCTGTTACAAGCTTTTGCATTTAAAACTTCCATATCTCAAATAAATTGTCTATTCCAAAAGTCCACCATTTAAAAAATAGTGCAATTGGACTTTTCTTTTAAATTAAACAATGAATATACAGTGAACATTTATCTGTTACCATAGGGAAAAAAAACTGCCTGTTACTCACATGGCACTGTGCGGAGGTAGAGGTTGTCACGAATGATTTGCTGAAGTTCGTGGTCCACGGAACCCTTCTGAAATCGTAAGTTGAGGTAGTGACGAAGATCCTTATCCACAATTCCTCCTAGAATAACACAGTTTCTTAATAAAGGATGTTGGAAAATATTTTAAGTATGTAATTTGATCTGTCATAAACATACTCATGAAACCATTTAAAACATGCATTATTTCACATTGCCCTTTTGACCTTCTGAAACATTTGCTGCCCATAATAATAAAAGGTAACATTCACTAAGATAACAATTATCCACTCAGTCAGTGCTCAGTGTTTTACATGCACTCTTTGTTTTTCATTTAGAATGAAGTCTTTATTACGGCAAAGGACACATGGTACTCTTGAACTGAAATCATACTAAAATGCCATAGTGTATCTCATTGCATGGCTAAAAAGACTCTTTTTTTTTTTACTTCCCACTCTCCCTTTCTCCCAGTCTTTCTGCCTTTGGATTTGACCACTCTAGGTATCTTAGACAAGTGGAATCGTATAATATTTGCCATTTGTGACAGGCTTATTTCACTTAGTATGTCTTCAAGGTTTGAAAAGGTTTTCCAGTTATTTAAAGTTACTCTGGAATTAGATAAGCAGGGTGATAAAGAAGTTAAAAGAAAAAGAATTACACCAATATTAATGCTTTACTACCTTTATAAAATGAATCAAAATAATGTATCTGCCATATAAAATATGTGCAGATGTTTTTAACTACAGACGATGTTTGAAAAACTTTAGGTATTTTTAAATTTTATTATTATTATAGAAATAATAATAACATAATTTTGAGTACATTTTTCATTATAATCTAATGAAAAACAAACTGGGCTACAGGTAAGAAAATCAATACTGTGAATTTATCAAAGATTATTTTCATATTTAACGATAATTATGTTAAATTATGAAGATTTATCTGAGGCCCTTCATATTCTTATACTTGGAAGAATGAATTATAAATCAAAATACTTATAAAAATATAAATAAGAATTTCTAAAACACTGATCTTTTCAAACATATTAGGGTAATTGGGCCAAGACAAAGAATTAAAGATAGAGGAAATAGGATGTCTGTAATAGTTACAAAAATCATATTCTCTTCAAATCCTTTTGAATCTCAAAATTATAATTCATTATCAATCTATTTGCACCACCATGACCACATAAAATAGCCTTATGGACGCAGCCCACGGGTCCTCCCACGGGGATCCGGCCTGAGGGGCAGTGGCGGGAGCTTCGAGACTAGGGCGGCACGAAAGGTAGGAGGTGTGGAGAATTTGGGGTTTCGAAAAAGCGTTTGCTGACTGATTCCAACAAAAGTGAGGCATGACTTCCGGAAAGATGGCGGAAGTGTAAGACGCGGAGATCACCTTCCTCCCCACAGATACACCAGAAATACATCTACACGTGGAACAACTACTACAGAACACCTACTGAACGCTGGCAGAAGACCTCAGACCTCCCAAAAGGCAAGAAACTCCCCCCACGTACCTGGGTAGGGCAAAAGAAAAAAGAATAAGCAGAGACAAAAGGATAGGGACGGGACCTGCACCAGTGGGAGGGAGCTGTGAAAGAGGAAATGTTTCCACACACTAGGAAGCCTCTTTGAGGGCGGAGACTGTGGGTGGCGGAGGGGAAAGCTTCAGGGCCGCGGAGGAGAGCGCAGCCCCAGGGGTGTGGAGGACAAAGCGGAGAGATTCCCGCACAGAGGATCAGGGCCGACCGGCACTCACCAGCCTGAGGCGCTTGTCTGCTCACCCGCCGGGGCAGGCGGGGCTGGGAGTTGAGGCTCGGGCTTCACTCAGAGCGCCGGGGGAGGACGGGTGTTGGCGGCGTGAACACAGCCTGCAGGGGGTTGGTGAACCACGGCTAGCCGGGAGGGAGTCCAGGGAAAAGTCTGGACCTGCCGAATAGGCAAGAGACTTTTTCTTCCCTCTTTATTTCCTGGTGCACGAGAAGAGGGGATTAAGAGAGACGCTTAAAGGAGCTCCAGAGACGGGCGCGAGCCACGGCTAAAAGCGCGGACCGCAGAGACGGGCATGAGATGCTAAGGCTGCTGCTGTCACCACCAAGAAGCCTGTGTGCGAGCACAGGTCACTATCCACACCCCCCTTCCCGGAAGCCTGTGCAGCCCGCCACTGCCAGGGTCCTGTGATCCAGGGACAACTCCCCCGGGAGAACGCACGGCACGCCTCAGGCTGGTGCAACGTCACGCCGGCCTCTGCCGCCGCAGGCCCGCCCCGCACTCCGTGCCCCTCCCTCCCCGCGGCCTGAGTGAGCCAGAGCCCCCGAATCAGCGGTTCCTTTAACCCCGTCCTGTCTGAGCGAACAGATGCCCTCCGGCGACCTACATGCAGAGGCAGGGTCAAATCCAAAGCTGAGCCCCGGGAGCTGTGAGAACAAAGAAGAGAAAGGGAAATCCCTCCCAGCAGCCTCAGGAGCAGCGGATTAAATCTCCACAATCAACTTGATGTACCCTGCATCTGTGGAATACATGGATAGACAACGAATCACCCCAAATTGAGGAGGTGGACTTTGAGAGCAAGATTTATGATTTTTTTCCCCTTTTCCTCTTTTTGTGAGTGTGTATGTGTATGCTTCTATGTGAGATTTTGTCTGTATAGCTTTGCTTCCACCATTTGTCCTAGGGTTCTATCCGTCCGTTTTTTTTGTTTGCTTGTTTTGGCTTGGTTTTTAAATTTTTTTCTTAATAATTATTTTTTTATTTTAATAACTTTATTATATTTTATCTTACTTTATTTTATTTAACCTTATATTATTTCTTTCTTTTTCCTTCCTTCTTTCCTTCCTTCCTTCCTTTCTCCCTCCCTCCCTCCCTCCTTTCTCTCTTTCTTTTTCTTTCTTTCTTTCTCTTTCTCTCTCTCTCTCTCTCTTTCTTTCTTTCTTCTACTAATTCTTTCTTTCTACGTTTTCTCCCTTGTATTCTGAACAGTGTGGATGAAAGGCTCTTGCTGCAGCCAGGAGTCAGTGCTGTGCCTCTGAGGTGGGAGAGCCAACTTCAGGACACTGGTCCACAAGAGACCTCCCAGCTCTACATAATATCAAATGGCGAAAATCTCCCAGAGATCTCCATCTCAACACCAGC